CGGCGCAGCGCGGCGGCGCAGGGGAGCCAGCTGGGCCCGGCTTGGCACACTCGGCACTGCGGTGCCAGTCGCCCCGGCAGATCGGCCTCCGAATCCTAACGGGGGAAAACAAGGCTGCCGACATCCCCGGGGGAACGCCGGTTTACGTGGTGGCAGGCACAGGGCCGAGGCGCTTCCTCCTGGGGACGGGAGCCCAGGCTGGATGCGTCGGGGCGGGTTACAACACCCCCTTCCGCTTCCACCGCAGCAACGCCCAAGTGCTAGGAGCAAATCACTCCTCTGCTTGCCCCGTCTAGCTGGTTTGTCTGCTGGCAGGGCTGTTCTGGCAGCGTCGAGGTGCCTGGACGCCCGTAAACCTCCCTCTCTGCCGCTGACTTGGCAGAGGTGCAGGAGGCGGGTGGAAATCTCCCCCTGCCCCGCGAGGCGTGCTCGTGGCAGCGAGGAAGGGGGTTGCCCCGTGCTCGTGCACACGGATTTCCATCTGATGCGAGCTGAGGGCTCGCACACACATGGACGGGAACTGCCAACGATGCAAGTTACCAACAGGGCTTGTTCGGAAAAAGAAACGGGAGGAGCTTCTAAATTAAGTGGTGACTGCACAGCCAGCGCGTTCCTGACAGGCTCCTATCGCCCAGCTGCCCTTCCTATGCTTAAACAATGGCAGAAATAAACTTGCTAATTTAAAAAGAGAATTGAAATGAAGAATTAACTTATCAGCTGTCTCCACGGGGGGCAGGGGATGTTAACGTTCCGGTTAGCCAGACAAACAAATTCAAAATACCCAAAAGAAACAAATCAGCTTTACTGAAGGAGCTGGTTCATTTCTTAAATAAAAACAGAGACCACAATCAAGCCAGTCGAGTTTAACATCCTAGAGAGGGAAAAGGGCAGATGTTTAGTAAAAGAGAGAAGTTGCGAGAACTTGTGGCCAAGGACCGACTCCGGGGGATGATTCTTCGGTGACCTCTGTGCCCCAGTGAGGGAGGAGGAAGGAGGGCAGATCGGCAGCGGCGAGATGGTTTTCGGGAGGGCACCAGTAAAACCAGAGAGGGAAGGTGCCTGGCCCTGAGCACAAGACGGTGCAGCTGATTTCATCCCGCTGCCTCACCTACGCACAGGGAAGGAGCCTTTCCTGAGAAGGAGCTTCCTCCTTGCTGAGGTGCCGGGTCTGGGGTTGGAATTCCCACGGCCACATCCCTACGTGTTGCTCCTCTCCTTTGACTTTTCACCTTTGCTGTCCTGGAGGGGAAGAGGAAAGAGAAGCAGAGGCTTAGGCTGCCCCACCACAAACGCCGCGCAGGGGCTGCAGCGCTATCGCCAGGGTCCTGCGAGCAAACACCCTCCACAGGCCTGGGTGCCAAAACGCAACCACCGCCCGCCCGCGCCTCCGGCTTCCTCCGTGCCCACTCCGGGCACAACCAGCTCCCGTCAGCCAAGCTCTCCTTGTGGTTAAACGTTTTTCCATCCCGAGGCCTTTCAAAGGGCGCCTTGATCAGATGATCTCGCGGTGGATTTACAAACACCGCGTGTTTCCCAGCCCTCTACCGCGCCGCACGCCGCCTTCCCCGCGTACAGGGAAACAACCGGCACATGCCTGCCCGGGTCTGGGCTTGCCGCGATTCAGGCTCGCTCAGCTCCCATACGCTAAGCAAGGTATTAAAAAGGAAACCAAACACACACGTGGCGCTCTGGCGCGCGCACACACGCACAGCTCACAGCACTGGAGCGAGGAAACCGTTCCCAGCACAGAGAAACGGCTCTCATCTCTGGAAAGCCTTTAAGTCTGCTCCCTGAATTATCTACTAAGGTCTCGACATTTATTCTTCCAAAGAAGTCACTGCCTCCTAGCTTAGGACTGGATTTTTCTCTCTCTAAATTGTTGTGTTTTCTACCCTGAGCAAATTTACAAAAAAAAAAAAAAAGGCAAGAGTCAACTTTGGACTTACTTTTTACGTGGGTTTAGTTTTAAAGTATTTAGAAACTGAAATTAACTGGAGCCCTGCTTACCACCTGCAACGAGAAGCTGAGGTTTGGGACATGTCAAAGATTAGACAGTTTAAGATTTCCTTGGAACAACGTATTTTTTGGATGGGAGAGGGAGACTGCAGCATCGCGCACACCCCAACGGTACGGCATCACACGCACGCAGACTCACGCCGAGGGGACGGTACCTCGGGAGGCGGTGGCTTGATGGTCACAGGCTGGGACGTCCTTCGAGGCGGAGAAGGCTTGGGCTGCACTTGCTGCTGGACAGTGTTGTAGTACGTGACCCCTCCGTACACCTGGGACTGGGCCTGCATTCCCCAGAGAGCAGAAGGGTCAGTGGTCTTCGCTGGGGGGGGCGCAGAAAGTTGCATCCCCTGCGAGAGCACCACGTGTCTCAGCTTTTAGGGCACACAACCGGGGCTGCGAAAAGATGCCACCACCTAGCACCGAAGGCGAGTAGCCACAGGGGGATGGGGGTTGATTTGTGCTGTGCTCCCCAAGGCTACAAAGAACAGTAGCACCTACCGCTCCCGGAGGACCCTCGCCTGCCCCTGCCCCTCACCAGGGCCCCCCTGCTCTCGGCAGGGTGGGCAGGTACAGGCTGCAGCAATCCGCAGCCACGCCGGACTGGTTTGTGGCAGATGGGTTTCCCGCGCCCTGCAGAGTTTCCCAACTGCCGTATAATGTCTGTGCTTTGCAACAGCAGCAGCTACCGTTTTCCTGCACAGACGAGGCAGTTCCCCTTCGCACCAAGATCCCCTCCAGCTGCCCGGGGGCTCGGGATCTGCCCCAAAAGCAGGCCGATTCCCCGCCGGGGCAGCTGGGATCAGCCCGGGGCAGCAGGGAAGGTCAGAGAGGTTGCAGGGCTCGGGGAGCGTGCACATCTCTCGCCTGCCACTGCGTGTCAGCCGTGTGCCGCTCGCACGGCGGCCACGGGGAGCCGTGGGTTCGTCATCATGATGCCAGGAGATCTGCCTCCTCGCTGCCCAGCAGCGACTGCGGACACAGAGGTCGGACATCGAGCAGGAAAAGCCAGCCCCGTGCTGATCACAACAAGGGCTTTCCCGGCCGGTGCCAAGGAACAGCACCAGCCAGTTTCCTGCCTCCATCTCAAACAGAAAGGATTTCCAAAGCAATTTTCAAGGTGTCCTTGGCTTAGCATGGACCTGAAGGGGACATAACGATTCGCAGGCTCCTGGTGGGCCGTCTCCCTGTTCTGTAGGGGAAGACCTCAACTGTGAGATCCACCAATGCAGGTATTTCATCCGCTAGACCCCTAAATCCAGGGTAGCTGCACAGCAGCCATGGGAGTAGTCCTGCTCAGTTACCCACCCCAAGCAGAGAGAAAGATGACAGTAAACAACCTCCCACCACGGAGCAGCCCAGCTGCTCCCCCATCCTCTCCCAGGAAGCCTCAGAGGATATACCCACACACCACAGGATCCCATCTGCTCTCGACAGCTCCTGCTCAGGAAGGAGACGCGCAGCGCAGTGCAGCTGGCTTACCTGCGTGTTGGAATAGAGATGAGGAGGGGGCGGAGGGGGTAGTGCTCCCGGGGGGTAGGGGGAGCCACGGAGCAGCCCAGCTGCTCCCCCATCCTCTCCCAGGAAGCCTCAGAGGATATACCCACACACCACAGGATCCCATCTGCTCTCGACAGCTCCTGCTCAGGAAGGAGACGCGCAGCGCAGTGCAGCTGGCTTACCTGCGTGTTGGAATAGAGATGAGGAGGGGGCGGAGGGGGTAGTGCTCCCGGGGGGTAGGGGGAGCCAGGATTCCCAAAATTCATGACTCCAGGAGGGGAGAAGTAAGTCGGTGCAAGCAGCTGCTGCGGGGGGGGGCGGGCGCGGGG